AGACGTACCAGTACTTGATTAATAATTGATTTATAACTACCTTACATTATCTTCATCAACGTATGAAGAAGATTTAATGAAACCTTATTGATTTATAACTACCTTACCTTATCTTCATCAACGTATGAAGAAGATTTAATGAAACCCTATTGATTTATAACTACCTTACATTATCTTCATCAATGTATGAAGAAGATTTAATGAAACCCTATTGATTTATAACTACCTTTCATTCTCTTCATCAACGTAGGAAGAAGATTTAATGAAACCCTATTGATTTATAACTACCTTACCTTATCTTCATCAATGTATGAAGAAGATTTAATGAAACCTTATTGATTTATAACTACCTTACATTATCTTCATCAACGTAGGAAGAAGATTTATTGAAACCCTATTGATTTATAACTACCTTACCTTATCTTCATCAACGTAGGAAGAAGATTTAATGAAACCTTATTGATTTATAACTACCTTAACTTATCTTCATCAATGTAGGAAGAAGATTTAATGAAACCCTATTGATTTATAACTACCTTACGCATTAAATCTTCTTCATACGTTGATGAAGATAAGTAAGGTAGTTATAAATCAATAAGGTTTCATTAAATCTTCTTCCTACATTGATGAAGATAAAAACCCTATTGATTTATAACTACCTTACATTATCTTCATCAATGTAGGAAGAAGTTTTGTTTTCGAAGTTGAAGAAAAAAGAAAAGAAAAGCAAGAAGGGTAAACCATCAAACCCTGAAGATGAAACGGCTATAGTAGAGCATATAAAGCAACAATTGGTTCGTCCAAGGTTAGTTATTGTAATACTGTAAGTTAATATTTGTTTTTCACTAACCCTTTTTTTTAAATTTCTTGCTTGATGTCTAAATTTTTGAAATTTAATAAATTCAGACAATTGGTGCAAAGTTAAACCATTTTGGGGGGGAAAAAATGTAAAACTTTTTTTATAAGCAACTAGCTTAGTTTCTTTTTTGCCTAAAGCCAAAAAAACTTTCTGTGCTAGCCATCATCACTCTTATAGCGCACCCACAGCCCAAAAGTGTGGAGTGACACTAGGCCATGCTGGCCCTAACATCAAATAAAACACTGAGTGTTTGTTAGTTTAACAATAGTGACAGCTCATAAGGTCTATGCAGGAGTTCAGAAATGGTGCCTACAGCTACAATATAAAATAACATTAGCATGCTTACACTACTACCACTGATGTTAACAAGACTATCTTTGTTTCTACTGCTGCCAAACTGTAAAGATACATAGGTACTTACATTATTGCACAGCCTAGATATTGTAGCTTTTTTCATTCTATGTTACAGAGTGTACAGTAAACCATCTTTTTGTGCAACATGGCTCAGAATATTGTCTACAAACAAATATAAAAATGCCTATTTCATTATAAATATTCAATAAGTATGACATTCTCAATTTGTAAGGACTTTTTTCTTTCACACAGCAATTAAAATAGACGATACTTGGTAAGTAATCACATAATCTTTACAAATAAATTATTGTTTCATTTACAGCTGTGTACAAAGTTCAAATACAAGTCCAGAGTTTGGCAACATTTTAAGTTTTTATTCATTAAAAATTAAATAAAACTAAGTAGTCGGGTACATGTAACTGATTAACACTAAGTAGTCGGGTACATGTAACTGATTAACACTAAGTAGTCGGGTACATGTAACTGAATAAAACTAAGTAGTCATGTACATGTAACTGAATAAAACTATGTAGTCAGGTACATGTAACTGATTAACACTAAGTATTCGGGTACATGTAACTGATTAACACTAAATAGTCGGGTACATGTAACTGATTAAAACTAAGTAGTCAGGTACATGTAACTGATTAAAACTAAGTAGTCAGGTACATGTAACTGATTAAGTTTGCATACTGGATGATTATAAAGTTTTACAGTTCGGCATATAATATCTCACAAAAGGTATGAAATTGTATAGGGAGCTAAGGGATGTAAACTGAACAGTTGTTGCAATGTAACCACTACTGTCACCACTATGACCAACTGTCTGATCAACCACAGTAACTGTTCAAAACGTGTTCCTCCAGCATCCAGAATGCATTGCAGACAACAGACATAACGTCCACTTCCTGAACAATTGCATTCTTGAGGTCTGGAATTATACAAGGCTTCCCACAGTTCACGTGCGACTTCGGGTACTTCCACAACGAGAAATTGGCTGGTGTTAGACCCTTTGAAGAAGGAAAATGACGTGAAATAATTGTATCCTGGAAGTGCTCCTACTAGACGCGTTCACCTGGTTACCAATACGTGAAGGGACGCGTGAAAACTGTAGCATCTATCACATTTCCTGCTGCAGCGTGGGAATGATGTTACGTTTAAACCCTGCATGGCACCATGCAGTGGTTGCTGTGCATGTCTGTATTCCATGTGTTGATGGTTCTTCAGATATACATGGCCCAATAACAAAGTTAGCTATGAAACTACACCACATTATCATCATGCAAGTGTCTGGGAAAAGTTACGTTTGGATTAGTTTACAACCAGATAATGCAGTTGCACACATTGGCACTTTCATAAAGGGTGAAGTGTGCAGGATATTAGTCATCACATTCCATCTTTCCAAGAAATACAATGCATTGTCTTCTTCAATGCTTAAATGTGATATAGCTTGTAAGGAAACATTTATAAAATTGCCTTATGAACAGTTGAAATTGACAAACCCAGACACCAGGCAACATTATATGCACTGCTACACCCACATCCACTGGTGCCGACTTGTTCTGCTATGGTACAGCCTCTCTCTCTTCACATTGTTTTATGAACTTGTGCACAGCAGCACTAAAACAAGGCCCTCTGTGGATATTATGTAGTTAGCTCCCGTCCATTCAGAGATCCAGTACTGAGGAGTAATAAAACATTTAGATACTATCTATAAAAGACAGCAATAAGAAGTGGAGAAAAAGTTAGTTAACTTTCCATCCAGAAGCACAGTACTAAAGAATAGTGAGAGGCTTGACGAAACTCCAGGACCTGAAGACAAATGGTGGAAGACTTTCGAAACGTCGTCCTCTACACTTGTGTCTCTACAACAGGCAGTTGCCATCCATTCTACAAAGTTTCACCATGAATACTCTGACTGAACAATTTATCAAAGTGAGAGGCTTAGCTAATGTCCATCTAGAAGCACATTACTGAAAAGTGGAAAAAGGCTTAACAATAGAAGGACCAGTTACATGTACCCGACTACTTAGTTTCATTCAGTTACATGTACCCGACTACTTAGTTTTATTCAGTTACATGTACCCGACTACTTAGTGTTAATCAGTTACATGTACCCGACTACTTAGTTTTAGTAAAATATTAGATAATTAAATAATATGTGATAGAAGAATCACATGAAATCTTTGAATGAATCGGTTAAGTAAATGTGGAACCATTCTACAATGGGGCTCAGTGGCTTAATGGCTATGCCCTTTGGATTTGTAGTCGGAGTTTGAGGCTGGCCATGTTATGCTGATGTGTCCTCGAGCAAGAAACTTTACCCTACTTGTTCCAGTCTACACAGCTGTCACCAGGGGGTTAACCTGCAATGGACTGACATCCCGTCCAGGAAGAATGAGTCATCCTTCTCATTCACTTTTGCCGTTTGAAACTGGAGTTCGATAGCATCAGCCCCCTACGTGTCTCGACTTTACATTATACCGTGACTTTCTTGTTAAAAAAGTGAACTATGGTGTTAAAAGTGGGTTTTCTTTAAATGAAATAAAAATCTTCACTTGATCTCAAGGGGTGCTCACCGATGTTTGTTTCATCCTCTTCAGACTCCTCACTCGTGAGAGGCTCCTCTTTCCTCCTCAAACACGCATCTTGCCACTGCTGGTAGTAGCCTGGTGCTGATTTCACAAGGTGAATCAGAAAGTAAACCAGGCGTACTGGAATAAGATCCATATAGCTGTTCATAAGAAATCAAAAGAAAATTAGTAGAAAAAATAAAACTAAGTAGTCGGGTACATATAACTGATTAACACTAAGTAGTCGGGTACATGTAACTGAATAAAACTAAGTAGTCGGGTACATGTAACTGAATAAAACTATGTAGTCGGGTACATGTAACTGAATAACACTAAGTAGTCGGGTACATGTAACTGAATGAAAAAATAATAATATAGTGACTGTACTGCCTATTTATGGATATGTTAATTTTTCATCATAAATAATAACTTTATTCCTAACTAAAATATCTTAAGTTTAGTGTACTGCTTTAGTTGTGTATTAAGACTTTATCATTCAGGAAGGGCAGTGTTGTAAGGTATATCTTTAATATTTTAACTTTGATGTTTGTTTGCTAGAGGGTGTTTGTCATGGCATAATGATGATGCAACATTTCTAAGCTAGAGTTAAATCGTTTAGAGTCAGTTAAATTGTTTTAATTACACAGTGTGAGTTAATCTGTGATTCAGTTAGTCTGTTCATGAGTGATTCAGTCATAATGTCAGTGAATCAGTCAGTGAAGAAACTTTGCAAGTAAGTGACTTGAGCTTTATTTATGAGTTAGGCTTACATTAGTTTTGGAATTTCTGTTTGGAAATGTTGTTTGTGCACTTAGGGTCAATCGAGAACACAGCCCGTACAAAACATTACTGAATAAATAAAGTGTTATTAACAAGAGCACTTGAATTGCACTATTTTTTTAACAAATAATCCAAACGAACCACCCCAACAATAGAATACAAATTTATAAGATCTTGGAACCTCTATCATATTGATGACAAGATTTTACTTCCAGTAACATCTAAACATTGTCTAAAGAGTTACTTACAGAACACTGTAAATAAAAATTTGGCCTAGTTCAAAGTTTACCACTAGTACATTACGAGGATGTCATATTCTTTTCAAAATAATTTTCTTGATTTTCTAGGCAAGATTCCAAGTTCTCCAGAAGTACAAACACACAACACTTCAACTTTTCCTTGTGATTCTACTCAGCTAAAAATTAATAACTGATCTACAAAAATTACTGCCAATGATAAAACTCTCTATAAAACCCTAGTCTATCGTTATACGTAAAGTAAACAATCACCCATTGTGTAAAAGTATAATATAGGGCATATTTTAGTACTTACCTCAGATACACTACGGTTCAACACCTTCGAAATCTTCCCCCACCTCTCAACTGTTCCTCCAAGATAGTTATTCATAGCTTTGGTCAAGACCATATAATATAAGGCATATTTTAGTACTTACCTCAGATACACTACGGTTCAACACCTTCGAAATCTTCTCCCACCTCTCAACTGTTCCTCCAGGATATTTATTCATAGCTTTGGTCAAGGCCAAAATTTCACTTTCACCCCAAGAATCCTTTCTCTAAACACAAAATAAAAGTAATATGACATTTATGACCAATTATGGAAATCAAAATTACTCTTTATTGTGTATAGATAAAATATATTTAATTCACCGTATTGGGTTTTGTTTCCGATCACTAGCCTTGATTTGCAGACATCAACTGTAAATTGCAGCCTCCCCACAAACCATTTTCTGTTCATCACGTAATCACTATATTCAGGCCTAAGTACAATCACCATGACAAAACTGCAGTGGTCAGAGCACTGAATGAAGTATTGTTTGAACAATAACTTTCCCTATATTTGTCAATGAAAGTTGAATTGTATATTTTGCCATTTATTAAAGTATTGAATGACATATATATTAAACAAAAGTATTGTTATGATCTTGCGTGGAAATCTTCACTGCCGATCAGATGACACGTACATTATCGGATGTATAAAAGTATCCTTAATTAATTCATAGCGAAGGTTGTTCCTATCATACAGTTACATGTCAACCAATCTGTAGATTAGACGGAAAGAAATCCTTTATTAAATTGTTAAGAAAGTGGTTAATACATACCAACAAGAAATGTCAACATTTCAGATTTAATAACCATATGAAAAAAACTTTCACGTGTTGTATTAACAGTTATAGCTGACTAATCTATAAATATTAAATCTTTGGTCCTAAAGAAGAAACCAATTACTCTTCAAACAGATTTTTTTTATTTTTGGACATTTTGGAAAAGTTGAAAATGTACACCCGGCAACCGGTATTATGACTAGCTAGAATTTTATACAGAAATTGGAACAAGTTAAAAAAACTTTCTGAGTTTTGTTTGCAACTGCTCAAAATTAGACTGATTTATGTGTACAGAATAATCAAACAGACACAAAATACAATGATGATAACAAGTGGTGAAGAAATGGTCAGAGAAACTTCATCTGGTTTAAAACTTTTACTTGGTAACACTGTGAACAACTCTAATTAATCTAAATGATTATTTATATAATTTTAATTTTCCTACTTACCATAATTAATAAAGTTGATAAAATATTATGTTTTAATTTTATCCAAGATTCTATATAGCTAGACAGTTGAAGGCTTGTAATGTATCACATTTAGTGATTTTTGCACAGAACTATGACATTCGTGACAAGAAATGTAAAGAAAGAGTAACCAGTCCTCTGGTGGGTCAGCGTTAAGTTTATGGATTTACAACACTCAAAAATCCGTAGTTCAATTCCTTGCAGTAGATAAAGCATATAGCCCAATATGGCTGTGTGTTAAAATAACCAAATCAAACTACACCAAATACAAAAATTATTTTAATAAAATTAATTTTTCCCACTATTTTACTAATTCTGAACAAATTCAGCAGTTACAAGTGTATTGAAACTTGTTACCGTTAAACTTTATAAATACAAAAGTTATAAAAAAATAACTATATGATTAAATGATATTCTTAGACATATTTTATCCTTCGATAATTTTCAACACCAATAATATAGATATTTTATCCTCAAACATATCATAGGTGAGTCAAACAAAGTAACTTTAACGATACCAAAGAATCCTCGGTAGAATCTAATTTTTCTTTCGGAACTTCATCCCTCTCAGCCTCACTTGAACCATTCGGACTTTCGACTGGTTGAAAAACGCAAGTGAAATCTGGAAGCTCTACCTTGGTACGTCGTTTTGGTTTTCGAATTTTTTCTGCAAGCCAAATACAAAAGGAAACTTGAACGTTTCAAATAGCCGTTATACATCACCTCATCTGAGAAGTATCCCATAATGCATATGTATGTAAAACAGAAGCCTCATTATACTGTATATAATTAGTAGTCCTATTGTGAAAACAAAGGATTATTTATCATTTACAGTATATAATAACAATTATTAACTCATGAGTATATAGTTCCAAAACTTTAGAAAAGTATTTAAATGACTTACCTCATAATATATGGAATAAAACAACTTCAGCTGAATCAATATTATTTAAGCTACAAATATGTCATATAAGTGATTGATTTGTATGTTAATTGAAATCTTTATTGTCCTTTGTTTAACACTTCTAATTACTAATACAGTGTGTTAATTGAAATATTTATTGTCCTTTGTTTAACACTTCTATAATACAGTGTAATTACTAATACAGTGTGTTAATTGAAATCTTTACTGTCCTTTGTTTAACACTTCTAATTGTTAATTGAAATCTTTATTGTCCTTTGTTTAACACTTCTAATTACTAATACAGTGTGTTAATTGAAATATTTATTGTCCTTTGTTTAACACTTCTCTATAAAACATATAATACTGATACAATTTTAAAGTTCATATAATGCAGTATAAAACTACTATAAAGCGTACTTATACAATGTTTCTCCACTTTATAACTTTGTTCACAAGTTTAAGAAAAAAAAGTTCAAAATAATGGGAATTTTTATGGTTAACAGAGCACAATAAAAGTTCTTGAACAGAAATATATAATTTTTTCAGTTTTGTTTCTAGTATTCAAAATCAAACTCGGCATTGCCCTAAAATACACACCAAAAACTATTAAAAAATAGGACATTAGAAAGGCAGCAACTGAATGTTATTATGTGTTCATTCTTTTTAATCTTCTCAAAACAAATTTCATTACACAAACATCACTCAGAATGTTCCTCCATAATGTCATAAAATCCTGCACACCGAGTCCGGTGATTTATTTTTACAATCCTCTTGAAACTACTATATTAAAATCTTTGTGAAGGCAAGAAAATCATGAAATGTAAAAAAACAAGTTACCAAGACTGCAAAAAAATTCAAAATTTATGCATATATAAAGCTCTAACAGGCTAGACTCAAGGTGATTTTATTTTACATATCAGTTAAAAGGTCCAACATGTGACTACTGGAGTAACCACTGCTTTTGTGGTTTACTAACAATTTAAACATTATATGAGACTAGAAATTGTACAGACGATAAAGATAATTAAAACTGATCATTCCCAGCTTACTTTGTTTAACACTTCTAATTAATAATAGTGTTATAAAACATATAATACTGATACAATTTTAAAGTTCATATAATGCAGATACAATTTTAAAGTTCATATAATGCAGTATAAAACATATAATACTGATACAATTTTAAAGTTCATATAATGCAGTGAAGCTGGAACATTTGCAACAAAAGATGATGTTCTAACCTGTTTGGCCATGCTAGTAACCTAAAAAAAAAAATTCTGATTTTATTTATAATTTTTACGATGACATGATTAAAATACCAAGTTTAGTTAATTCTAATTTTAGATTTTGTCATGTTAGCCTGAACAAAACATGTTCGAAAGAAAGCATGCAGAAAAGTTTCACTACGAGTCAAGAAAGCTAAAGATAAGCAGTTTGGTTTAAAATGAAAACAAATCATAGTAGAAGCTGTAATGACAATAAACTAATTAACAATATTACGTGAAACTCAGTTCAGCATTAAACAATAAACAACAACAGAGAAAAGAATATGTTACTTAACAGTTTTTTAGCATTAAGTGGAAAGAGAATGAAACAAAACGCATTATAAAACATATAATACTGATACAATTTTAAAGTTCATATAATGCACTATAAAACATATAATACTGATACAATTTTAAAGTTCATATAATGCACTATAAAACATATAATACTGGTACAATTTTAAAGTTCATATAATGCACTATAAAACATATAATACTCTACAAGGTTTGTAATTCCTACTGTAGCAAATGTTCCAGCTTCACTACAAGGTTTGTAATTCCCACTGTAGCAAATATTCCAGCTTCACTACAAGGTTTGTAATTCCCACTGTAACAAATATTCCAGCTTCACTACAAGGTTTGTAATTCCTACTGTAGCAAATATTCCAGCTTCATTACAAGGTTTGTAATTCCTACTGTAGCAAATGTTCCAGCTTCACTACAGGGTTTGTAATTTCTACTAAAACAAAACAAATTTTTTAAAACATTCTTGAAGAATACTTTTCACTACTGGACTTCATGAAGACACCTCACATCTTCTTAGGAACTATTGATGAATAAAACAGGTGTTCATTTTGTGACCTGTTACTAAGTTTTTACTGCTGGACTTCATGAAGACACCTCACATCTTCTTAGGAACTATTGATGAATAAAACAGGTGTTCATTTTGTGACCTGTTACTAAGTTTTTCACTGCCACGCATCATAACATGCCTCGCTCGCCAGTTTTAATTCTAATTCAAAGCTTGATTCCATTAGGTCAAAAGTAACAAAATATGATGCAAGTGCCTAAGGACTACATAACAAACAGGATTGGGATCTACAGGGATAAGGGGAAGAAACCACATCCTAGCATTTAATACTAAAAATTACTTTATGTTCCTAATAATTTATTTTAGTCAGAAAACCATTTTTAGCAGTCTATAAGCATATGAAAAAAATTAAAAAACAAACAATTTCCATTAGTCTTAAGTTGGCAAAAAATGATCCTACTTTATCATATTTCTTTATTAAATTCTTCAGTTGTCTTTCCATTTCTATCAGTCTACGTTATATAGCAAATAAAAGATATAAAACTGTTGTAATTCAATCGGGTATTATTTACAATATTTTCCATTCTAAACAAAAAATTATTTTCATTTTAAAACATCACCCAAAATACTACATTCAATAACAAAGTACAAGTATTTAGACTATCGGGAATCTATTACACGCTTATTGTCCAGCTTTAACTCTCTCTATAGGGGTTGGATCACGCAGACTGACCGTGAAACCGTGACATAAACACAAAAGTATACATATTATAACTCTTAATGTAGCAAGTGTATTATCACAAAACTTAATAAGCTGTTAGTAAACATCATATGTCTTTTGCTAAATGAAATATTCATACTAAATATTTCTTTGTGGATATATGGTGTGTGTGTGTGTGTGAGAGTCAGATTCTGACTAGTTTAAGTCCAAGGGGGTTTTCATTTTAAGATTAGAAATATTTTTTCAACTTACATTTTTCATATTTCATTTGCATAACCTCCAAAACCTCTTAAATGAATATATCAAGTTTTATTCAAGTAAAAACTTTATATTTTGTCTATTTTCACTACCCTAACTTTATATGTGATAGGCGAGCATCGCATGTAGGTTTGACTTTTCGATTTATATCTCCATCATAAAAACAAGATTGAAGGCTATAAAAATTAGACTATGCCTTAGTAATATCTCTACTATAATGAGTAATTTATGTTAAATTCAACACATCAGAGGGGGGGGGGGGGGAGTGATTAAAAAAAGTCAGAGCAAACAAATGTCACGTTACGCAGACAATGAGATTCTATTCAAATATCTTCTTTTGAAATAAAGAAATGTTATTTATTAATTACATTTTGATGCCGAGTTTATTCTATAGATGATAATAAAGAGGGATAACCCTTGGGTATGGTTTTGTTATCCAGTTAACTAAAAACTGGTATGTAAAGAAACACAAGTGTCTGTGAAAATGAATAACAAAAGGAATTTTTTGTAAACAATGTTTTACCGGATGAAAGCCGCAAGGAAGCTGTCGCGCTGATGTCGC